GGGCCTTGTAAACCATGATCTAAGTCTAAAGTCTCATCTTTCAAGATTCTAACTCCGGTTTGATTTTGTGTTTCATTTTGTGGTCGATTTTGAGTTTGATTTTTCATGGAGCTCGAAACCTTGTTGTGTTTTGTATTCGCAACGCAGAGACGGATGTGGTTACATGACGCAGAATCCGGAGCAAGATACGATGAGCAGACCGGAAAGTCAATGGGCGCATCGGCAGACGTCGGCACGACGGTCGAAGCTATGGTTAGCGCTGAAGGTGGGGCACGCGCGTCATCTTAAGTCCTTTTTCGAGCCATTCCAGCTGCGTCTCTTGGCGGATCGTGCCGTCCTCGTTGCGTTCGGGCTCGGTGAACTTGAGCGTGTATCCAAACGCTTCCATCTCGGGCACGTGTTGTTCCTCGTCGGGCGTGAACAATGCAGAACAGCCGCCGACGCCTTGGTCCATGTAGCTGTTGCCGTCGAGTCGGATCGCCGCGGTCGGGATGTGGAAGACGTTGGTGTCCACTTGACCCTCCTCTTGCACGGGCCAGAGTCCAACTCGGTAGCTCGATGTCACTCCAGTGCGCCAGTCCTTGCAGCTGCATCGGCTGTCGTCCTGGCCAACGCGGGGACGATAGCAATCGGCAACTTGATCTTGGGACCATTTGCACGTCCACCCTGCCAAGAAGTCGGCTGTGCCACCGACGTTGTACTTCTTCAGCACAGACACGGACCCATTGGACTTGTCTGTGGTGAGCTGGTCCGCAGAGAAGGGCACTTGGGCGGACGCCGATGAAGGACGCGCCCTGACCGGCGCATACTCGATCCTGGTGATCCAGGGAACCGCGTCCTCCATCCCGACGTCGACCTCGACCCAATCAAAGCTCGCGGGAGACGAGTCAGCCGTCGAGTGATTGGACAAGCCGGACTCGTATCTGTAAGTGCCTGCTAACGAGGCTCTGTCGCGTTCCTCCAATCGCCAAGTGATGTCGAGAAGGACGGAAGGCACGCTCTGCAGGATCCAATCCCACGGACTCTGGCTTTTGGATTCTTGGAGCAGCTGGCAGTCCTTTGCCTCCTGAGGTTCGCCATGATCAAGGGCCAGCCGGGCTAGGGTACTGACGATGAGGCCCCTTTCGAGATCCAGAGCAATGTCCAGCTCGTGATCGCCATACACTTCATGAAGGACGTAGAGCTGAAAAGGCTTGTTCCTCTGCTGCAATCGCAACGCGCTGCCAAAGTTGAGGTGGCCGACGGACGAGAGAGCCGCGTAACGCCGAGGCAGTTCTTTTCGGACGAGGTCAAAAGGAGAGTGGGTGCTGCCTGTGGAGCTGTCGGTGGAGAGTTCGTGGATGGTGAAAAAGTGGTGGATGACGGCGTCGTTGAGGAAGGTCTCGGCTGGTTGCTCGAGGCCGTAATAGATGGCAAGGAGAGACTGTACAAACTTTTGTGCGTCCAAGATGGTAGTTTGCAGCGCTTCTGTTCGGTTGTGGCTGCTTCCGCGACTGTGGCGATGAGCTTCTCTGACGATGCGGGTGTGATCCAGGCGCAGGGCCTGTAGCATCTGTTCTGGCATGATGCCGTCGTTGGCGTACAAGGAGGCTGCCCAGGCGAGCTGTTGCACTGCTTGCCAGAGCTTGCGGCTGCGGAAGACTTGATGGTCTGCAGTGTTGGCGCCTGGGTGGAGAGATGAAGAGGACGAGCATTCTGCGGCTTTGCGGGTATAGAACGGCGCGCCTTGAGCGATGGACATGACGAGATCCACGGTTTTGCGGCGTCGCTTGGCCGCTTCGCGCACGGTGGTTCCCGCGAGCTTGTCAAAGTCGCTACCGAGCGAGCTGCGCCACGGAGAAGCTTGGAGGCACGGGCATCCAGTGTTGCGTCGTTCAAAGCCATCCACGTTGATGCGGTCGATGTCAAAGTGGAGGCTTCCGTTCGGCTGCTCTGTTTGTACGTCGTTGAGTTGGAGAAGTCCGACTTTGGGGTGGCAGAAAGGCTGGTTGGATAGCCTGTTCTGGGCTTCGTAAAAGTCGTTGCCGAGGGGCGCGCGGTGGCCCGGGCGCTTTGACCAGGGCCAACGTATGTCGCTGCCTGGCCAGTCACCGCTGAAGATGAGGGCGACAAAGGTCCAGAAGACGAAGAAGAGGGTGACGGAAACGATAAAGTGGAAGCGAGTCTTGAAAACAAGCCTCTCGAGCCAGTGCCAGTCGTCCCTGGAGTCTTTGTTGGCATGTCTTTGCGGTGGGTTGTCTGGATGCTGTGAAGGTTGATCGTCGATGTCATGATCAGTGTCGGAGAGCAAAGGCAGCTGGGCCTCGTCCGGGTCTGCGGATCGCTGTCGACCAGCAGTGTGGCTAGGTGCACGAGGGTCGGCTGCGCCTTGGTTGGCTGCGTGGTCGGCCATATTTATGGACAAGAGGGCAGCGCAGCTGGTGCCATTGAGATGGGAGAGTGGAGAGGGAAAAGATGCCACGCAATCGGGGGACAATGTCTACTATCTCTTGCCCAGGTCCGAGCGCACAGGCGGGCAGGGCTCACGCGCGGTGGGGACGCTGGAGTTCAAATGAAAGATCTAGCGATACAGTAGCAGGCAGATTGAAGGCGGATGCAGATTGTCATGGGCTGTGGACCGAGATACTGTGGTGACTGCAAGGCCGGCGTTGTTGTTCCTGACACTGCCACGGTAACGTCGTGAAGTGGTGGTGGTGGCGGTGGTCCGAGCGGTGAGGGTGTTGAACTCAGCCCTTTCCCTGCTCGACGGAATACCGCGTACGAAAATCGGGACAGGAAAAGGTGGAGAGTATTGCCGACTGGCTGATCTTCCTTGCCATCTGCTGGCTTCTCTTTTTTTT